TAATACAAAATTATAAAGTCATGGTCAAAATTGAGTCAATTAAAATTACAAGGATTAAAATGACACGAGAACCAAATTATAGGGATTGCCATCATAATTTGTCCTACATTTTTTGAAAGAAAAAAAAAAACTTTATTTTATCAATTGTTCCATGTTTGTAACTTATGATCTTTTGTATTTAAGGGCCAATTTGGGGACATTGACTTTTAATTTATTTTGGGCCACATCACATTTTTATTTTTTTTACACAATTTTCAAAAAAAATAAAAAAAAAATCAATTTTTAACCAATTTCTCAAAACAACCCAAATCAGAATTTGAGCTAGGTTAATGTAACAATTTTTTTTACCAAATTAAATTTACGCAATTAACTATACCTCATATCTTTGCCTTATAAGTAGAAATCTTTTCTTCCACTTCCATTCCATCCCATAAAATTTTGAGCTTCTTCTTCATTCTCCCTTTTTATACATTAATTAGTATTTGTTTCTTTATAGTTGAGTGTTTGTGGGGGGAAAAAGAAAGGTTTTATTTCTCTCTATTATCTAGTTAGAATGAGATTACAGGTTGTTGATATGTTGTTATTTTCTGAAGGCAATCGCACTTATAATCCTACTATACAATACTCTAATATGTTATATGAGCATGAATCATCTTAAAGAAAGCGATAAACTGTACCTCAACCTTGCCGTTAACCTTATTTTGGAGTCTTATAACAATCAAATAAGTCTATGAAGTTCATAGAATTTAGATTATTGGTAATGAATATTTTAACCATTTTTATTTTTCATATCAAACTTAAAATTTGGCGATAATTTTTTCAAATTCATCTTTAGTGGTGTTTTATCTATCTTTTATTTTTATTTTTATTTTTATTTTTGCTTTTGGAATCTTTGTTTGTTTTAGAAAAATATGATTTGGCCAAAGATTGTCCATTTTTATTAATTCCAAGATCTCTCTGAATTTGAAAGTTATTACTAAGTAAGTTTTCATACCCAGGCTCAATCTAATTATGTTCATAACGTCTACCAATTTGGCCATACCCCGTCAAATTATAACAATGTCAAATTTGGTCAAAACTCGACTCCCCCTCCCTCAGACATATGACATTTATTTTTAACTAAACAAATAGAAAAATAATATTTGTATTATTGGAATAATATAGCCAAGTTAAGACATTTTGACGTTATAAGAGCATACGCTTACTTTTTATTTTTTTTTACTATTAAATTTGCGTAAAGACTTGAATTAAAAACTTCATTTGATAACAAACATTCCAATGCTAAATTTTTAATTTTTATCAAACAACTGGTCGACTAGAAGGACGATCGAGGGGATGTTCGGGCAGTCGTTCCGTCTAATATAATTTTTTTTCAAATTTTTCCCAATTCCGTCATCCATTCGGTTGTCCCGTTGACTAGCTAGTCATCCATCCGGTTGTCCACCAACGGTCACTTGCGAAATTTGATAAACGGTTAAACGCTCTCTTCATTTGATGAAATGGGGCTCCCTTAATTTGATACTAATTTGGTGAGATGGTTGTAATATCATTTTTATTAAATTTTTATCAAATTTAAATTTGTGTGAGTGATTTTCTGACCACACTGCCCGCCTAGTAATCAGCTGGAGAGCACCGGCAGAATAGATGGCTTCAGCAAACCTGTAACAGAAAGAAAAGGCTCCGGCGGTGGCTCTTCCACCCGGGGGCACTCTGACGATCAAGTTAGTATATCTCTCAAAGATAATCAAGTGCTAAACTCACTACTCAAAGCATAAAACTACGTACCTTAGACCCACGGGGGTGCCTCTCTTTTATAGTTTACTCAATCCAAGTCCCACTAGAAACCTGACTTCTATGGACTCCAATTCAGTGCTTATTTTGGATTCCTCAAGAGATAAGGATAAACTCCCTAAGAGCTTTATCCTTATCTTGGCTAAGTCTCTTATTTACTCTAGGACTCCTGTCCCTTATCTTTTATCCATTTATCTCGGATTCCGATATCTTCGGAGATAACCTCGGTAACTCAGAGATAACCTCGACATAACTACCACGACACGTGGCACCTCGGCTGACACGTCGGCGTCACCATGCCACGCGTTGGTACTCAGAAAATATATCCCCACAGTACTCGTTTTTTTTTTCTTCGTAATTTTGAATCATTGAATCATGCTAATATATTGTTAGTTGTCATTGATTGTTTAATAATTATCTCTAACAAATGAACTAGTTATGAATATTCTTATAGTTCAAGAACAAGAACTCAAATGAACTTTCCCACGCGCATGAGTTGTCATGCATCACTTCTCAACCGTTTCCTGCACACGTTTCATCTTTATTGGCCCGTGCTTGTGACGCGCTTGTAAGTCGTCTTAATCTGTCTGCGCCGTCTGACGCATGCGTTTTTCCAGGCGCAGTAAATGCTTTATTTTGCCGCCGTTTCACATTTTCAACAAAAACACTACCTTTGCCTTCGTCTCTTCATTTTGCGCTTTGATTCACTTGCTTTTTCTCTCTCTAAGCTTTGTCTCTCGAATTCGCCATTGTTCAAGCTCTAGGCTCTGCAACTTCATTCGTCTCTCTGGTGAGGCTCTCGCTACTCTGTCACTTCTGTAACCGTCGTCTGTCTTCGGCGAACTTTATTCCAGCTTCAATTTCTCTGGTAAGCCACTATTCTTTATGTATTCAGTTCACTGATGTTCTTCTATCTTCTTGCTGCCATTACGGTTCTGTTTAAACTGTTAATTCCATGAATCATATTTATTGTTCACTACTTCTTGCATTTTTGCCACTGTTCTTGGCCCTGTAGTTCTTGTTTTCTTTATGCTTTTGACAACCCCACTTCTGTTCTTCATTCTGAAACTGCGTTCTGGTTTCTTGTTTCCTGTGTTGTTTTCGAATCTCTGCTTTGAATTTTTGCTTTCAATCTTTGCCTTCATAGATTTAGGTTTGGGATTTGTCTATAGAACCTATCAATTCTTAGGAAAAAATTGAAGCAATCCTTACCTGTATATACCTAGGGTTTCGCCGAGGTCCCGATAATCCCTTAAGAGCATCTTCTTTCTGAAACCTAGCCCTCTGATTTTAGGCCGACGTTATGGGTATGTGGAGGCACAGGGTAGATACCCCGACCAAACTTGAGTACTTTAGGCAAGAATTCTCCATCCCTGCCGATGTCCACCTGAGACTTGCTAGGGATGATGACTCCACCATGCCTACAGAAAACGCCATGCCCCTTTCCATTGTAGCTTTTACTGAGTGCGGACTCCGGCTCCTACTCAACATTCTTTTTCGCGAGATCCTTCATTATTATAAGTTGAACCCTATGCAACTGGCAATCAATTCTTATCGAGTGATTTTTGGTATTATCGCCTTAGCTAGGCAGGAGAACGTTAGGATCACCCTTGCCGACATCTAATACTGTTATACCATGTGCGCCCTTAACCTGAAGGAAAAAGGTTACGTCTATTACCTCAAGCTGAGGTCCACTGAATTCAAAATCGTAGGCGACCTTCCAGACTCCAACAAGGGGCTGGAGATGATTATGTTATTGCTTCGGGAAATTGGGAGTTTGGCGCAGACGAGGACGCCCATCTCTACCCTCTTCCTCGATCAGTTAAAGAGGGCAAGGGTAAGAGCCCAGTGTCAATACTTAGCTGTTTCTGTTCAAGTCTTCAATATTTTATCTGTTTCTAATATCTGTTTCTTCTTGCAGACGTTCGCAAGCCAGCGAAAAACTTCTGCCAATCTTACGTTCCTAGTAAGGACCTGAAAAAACTCCTGGACTTGCCAGTTTACAAAAGAAAAGCACCTCTTCTTCTCAACTTTATTCCTACATACAAATCGATTTTGCCCGACGTCCCCAAAAGAAAGAAGAAAAGCCTTTCTCCTCCTACTGCCACAACTCAAACTGCCTCTACATCACGAACAGATCAAGAGTCAAAATCTGACCCAACCAATCAACCATCTACTTCGGCCCCATACTTAGTCCCAATACACGAACGTAAATGTCGGCGAAGACTTGTCAAAACTGCCGAGATGGGTCGCCCAAAGCCCGTTGCTCAAGACCTCCTTGTCGATCTCCCTATTGACGTCGATACTCAGCCGACTTAAACCATGCCCCCACCAAAGCCAAAACGAACCAAGAAAGCCCAGCCAAAGGCTAAAGCCACTGAAGTAGAGGCTGAGGATACCCTGACAATTTCACAATTGGCAGGGAGTGAGAAGACGGCTTCCGTTCCCAAAAAAAGGTCTGCTGAGACACAACCATCAGAGTCCACACAATCAAAGAAGCCAAGGGCATCGTCTGCGACGACCTCGGGCTCCAGAATACCAAAAGTCCCCTGGACGCTTGAAATTACTTTAGAAGATAAGCCTGTTCTTGCCAGCGATAGTGCCGACGACATTAATGTCGGCGTAGCACTCAGTACCGCCCTACTTTTCCCAGGTGATCTTGAGCGGAATGCCAAAATGAGTGAGTACGAGAACTATGCCTTTATGCTCCAACGTTCTGTCCAAGTAAGTGTCTTTACATGGAAACTTGTCTTCTCTTTTACTTTGTAAAATTTTGTAATAATTTTTGCCCTGTGCTCTTTCAGGCCATTCAACATGCCCACTCTCTCTCTATGCAAGCTTTTGAAAACAGGGTAAAGTTGGCCGACATGAAGAGGGAGGTTTCTGCCCTTAAAAAGGAGAACAAAACTCTTCAATCAAAAATGAAAAAACTGGAAGACTAGACTGAGGCTGCCACCAAAGCCCAAACCCTAGCCGAAGAAAAGGCCGAATCTGCTAAGGCCATCAAGAAGGTTGCCGAGGCCGAGAAGAGAGAAGCCGAGGACAAAAAGGCTCAAGCCGAAAAGGAACTTCAGGAGGCCTTGGCCACTAAGGACGCTGAAATCAAAGCGGTCGACGAAAAAGCCTATGCCCAAGGAATGGCCGATGTTACAGAGGAATACAAATTACAAGTTAGGCAGGCATGCAACAGGGGCTTTTCCCTTGGTTGGATGTCCCTGGCCAAAAAGCTCAATATTCCTGAAGATTCACCTCTGCGCAAGGCCGAAGCTATTCCTCTCCTATTCCCTCCTCCTCCTCCACCTCCAAGTCAAGCTGAAGAAGAATCTGAATCTGAGTTTGAAGATGAGGAGGAAGGTGAGGATGAGGCTTTAGTAAGGAAATCCAAGGAGGCTGTTGGGCCTAAGTCTCCTTCTCTGAATGATCAGGTCTTGGACCTGACTCAAGATGATGATGGTGATGCAGTTGCCAAGGAAACTACTCCTGAACAGGCCTCATCTGACGTTCCTCCAACCGAAAAAAGTCTTGATGAAACCCTTGCGCAGATTAACGCCGAAATCGAGGCCGAAAAGACTGCTGAAGTAGCTCTCCAGGAATCAGCCGAGGTAGTTCTCCAAGAATCGGCCGAGGTCCAGTCTCAAATTGCGCCTGAAGTAGAAGAATCATAACTTTGATGTCCTTCTTTTCTTGTCTTTTGTACTTTTTTGTTTCCTAGACAGTAGAAGCTTCTCTGTACGGCCGATGTGCCTTCTGTTTGTGTTGGATATTTTAACATAACTATCTTTCTTTGAATGACTACATTCTTTTTTGCCTTTTCTTTGACTGCCTCTGTTTGATTCTATACTTAGAATTTTTTGTATGCCTTTCATACTTTGCCTCCTTTGTGCAATCTTCTCAGGGTTACATACCTCGGGTATAATAGCTACAAAACTTTTACTTCGGCAAGATACTGACCTGCAAACTTTTCATAAATTCTAACAAGTGTGAATACTACTCAATGTTAACTTTGCAAACTTTTTCTCAAGTTTCAACAAGTGTTTAAACGGTGATCTCGGTCTAGCCTACTTGTAAATTGCTACAAATTTCAACAAGGATTAACATATACTGTAACATGGATCAACAAGGATTAACATAACAAGTGTTAAACAATAATCTATTTGTAAATTGCTACGAATTTCAACAAGGGTTTAAACAACATACTTAGCTTTTTCCTCAACCTGTAAATTACTGCAAATTTCAACATATGATCATATATCGGCTTAACGTTATCTTGTAAATTACTACAAATTTCAACAAGTGTTAAGCATCTTCTTTGGTTTAACCAACCTGTAGATTGCTACAAGTTGTTTAAGCAAAAATCTCAGCTTAACTTCAACTTGTAAATTGCTACAAATTTCAACAAGTGAAGATAAGGAACCATCTCAACTTAACTTCAACTTGTAAATTGCAACAAATTTCAACAAGTGAAGGTAAGGAACTATCTCGGTTTAACTTCAACTTGTAAATTGCTACAAATTTCAACAAGTGAAGGTAAGGAACCATCTCAGCTTAACTTCAACTTGTAAATTGCTACAAATTTCAACAAGTGAAGGTAAGGAACCATCTCAGCTTAACTTCAACTTGTAAATTGCTAAAAATTTCAACAAGTGAAGGTAAGGAACCATCTCGGCTTAACTTCAACTTGTAAATTGCTACAAATTTCAACAAGTGAATTAAGTGTCTCTGTCTTCTCTCTGCCCCCAATGTGAACCTGAGTTCTACTTGGGTTCTCATTGTTTATGTCTCCAAAACCACCAATATGTAACTTTATCAATCATATGTGTTTAAAGAAAAGCGAAAATATTTTATTGATGACATCGGCCAAAAATAATGCACATCTAATGATAGAAGAATTTCAAATTACAAGTGTTCCAAGGTCTTGGCAGTGCTTTGCCCTCATTATCTTCAAGCCGATAAGCTCCATTGCCTAATACCGAAGTAATTCTGTAGGGTCCTTCCCAGTTTGGGCCAAGCTTGCCCTCTCTGGGATCCTTCTTGTTACCGACGACTTTTCGCAGGACTAGGTCGCCGACTTGAAAATCTCTTGGATTGACCTTCTTGTTGTAAGCTCTGGCAAGCTGTTGCTGGTATACTGCGAGCTGAACTGCAGCTTTCTCTCTTCGTTCTTCCAAAAGATCCAGATCTCGGGCTAAGAGTATGTCATTTGTCTCGTTCTCAACTCCCTGGGTTCGGATCCCTGGGATGCCGACTTCCAGTGGAATGACTGCTTCTGCGCCATAAGCCATGACAAAGGGGGATTCCCCTGTTGATCTTCTCGGCGTAGTCCGATATGCTCAAAGCACGTTGGACAATTTGTCTACCCACTTTCCTTTTGCTGCCTACAGCCTCTTCTTTATTCCATCCAAAATTACTTTGTTGGATGCTTCTGCTTGCCCATTACTTTGGGAAAAACTTGGTGTTGAAAAGTAATTCTTGATCTTGAATTTCGCACAAAAGTTCTTGATGAGTTTGCTGTCAAACTGTGTTCCGTTGTCGGCAACTATTGCTCTTGGAATCCCAAATCTGGTGATGATGTTTCTCCATATAAAGTTCTTGACGTCCAAATCTCGGATTTTGGCAAGAGGTTCTGCCTCTATCCACTTCGGAAAGTAATCTGTTACTACCAGCAAGTATTTTCTCTGCCCAGTTGCCTGGGGAAGTTGCCCAACAAGATCCATGCCCCATTGAACGGCCAAGGGCTGGATACTGGGTTTAGGTCAGCAGCTAGCTGATGTATCAAAGGTGCAAGCTTTGGCATTGTTCACACTTCTTCACGTAGGCTTCAGCATCTTTTTGCATGTAGGGCCACCAATACCCCTGGGTAATGGCCCTGTGGGTTAATGATCTGCCCCCAGCATGGCTTCCACAAATTCCTTCATGAATTTCATATAGGAAATCTTCAACCTGCAAAGGGTGTACGCACCTTAAAAGGGGTCCAGTGAAGGACCTTCTGTAGAGATGTCCATCTGCTGTCAGACTGAATCTTGCCGATTTCAATCTGACTTTGTGTGCCTCCTTACGATCTTCTGGCAGCTTTCCTTCTTTCAGGAATGCAACAACTGCATCCATCCAGCTTGGTCCCATGTCCACACACATTGCTTCCTGCTCTGTGCTCTGTGGTTCTATGCTCGGGCCCGACATATAGTCGATCATAATTGTCCTTGTTTTTCCAGTCTGTATTGAACTTGCCAGGTTAGCCAACGCGTCGGCGTGGGTGTTGTCATCTCGGCTAACTTGGAGTAGTCGGCAGTTTTGAAATAGGGCTACCAATCTGATGACCTCTTTTGCATATGCCGACATTCTTTCGTCTCTGGCTGCAAATTCTCCTATTGACTGGTTAACAATAAGCTGTGAATCACAAAAAACTATTACCTCATCTGCTTCTGCTGCTGCTGCCAGTTTTAGCCCTGCAATTAATGCTTCGTATTCCGCTTCATTGTTTGAGGCCTTGAACCCCAAACGGATGGACTGTTCTATTATTTCTCCATCTGGAGATATCGGCAGTACTCCTGCCCCCGCTCCTTGTCGGTTCGAACTTCCATCGACAAACAGTTTGAATGAGTCGCCAATGTAGATGTTGCAAGGTCTGAGTTTCCCTTCCTTTGCTCTTTTGCCTTAGGCTGGGATTCTCCTTGCTTGCTGGGACAATGCTCATCCTGGCTCAACGGAGCCCGATGTTCGATGGTTTCAAGCGTGAATTCTGCTACGAAGTCGGCCAAAACTTGGCCCTTTATTGCTGCTGCTCTGGGCCTGAACTCCAGGTCATACTGGCCCAAGGCAACTGCCCATCTTGCGATTCTTCCTGTTAAGTCTCCTTGTTGCAACAGAGACTTCAGTGGGTGCTCTATGAGCACCACAATCTTGTGCGCCTGAAAGTAATGGTTCAATTTTTTTGAGGCCATTACTACGGCCAGCATTAATTTCTCTAGTGGTAGATACCTTGTTTCTGCGTCAGCCAAGGTTTTACTTACATAATAAACAGCCTTTTGTTCTCCTTGTTCTTCTCGGATTAGCACTGCACTTACTGCGTATTCTGACATAGCTAAGTACAAAAACAGCTCTTTCCCAGGTTCAGGTGTCGAGAGAACCGGAGCCGTGGTCAGATATTTCTTTAGGTCGGCCAAAGCGGCCTCACATTCCTCAGTCCATAGGAAGTCCGTGGTCTTCTTTACCAGGTTGAAGAAGGGTTTACATTTGTCTGAGCTTCGGCTTATGAACCTTTTTAGGACTGCGGCCTTTTCAGTAAGCATTTGTACCTGTTTTGCCGATGTTGGGCTCTGTAGGTCTAGGATGGTCTTGATCTGATCTGGGCTGGCCTCTATGCCCTTCCTTGTTACCAGGTACCCCAGAAATTTACCAGATCCAACTCCAAATGCGCACTTTGATGAGTCGGAGCCGATATGTTTTGAGGATCTTGAATACCTCTTTTAGGTCGGCAAGATGACTCTTAGGCTCCTTGGTCTTCACGACCATGTTATCGATGTAGACTTCTACTGTTTGGCCAATCAGGTGTTTGAACATTTTGGTTATCAGCCTTTGGTAAGTTGCTCCTGGGTTTTTTAACCCAAAAGGCATTACCTTGTAACAATACAGTCCTTTCGGGTTGATAAACGCTGTCTTCTCTTCGTCTGGCGGGTACATGGCTATCTGGTGGTATCCTCTGTAAGCGTCCAGGAAGCTCATCCTTCCATGTCTAGATGTGGCGTCTACCAACTGGTCAATCTTGGGTAGAGGAAAGTAGTTTTTGGGACAAGCTTTGTTCAGGCTTGTAAAATCTACGCAGACCCGCTATTTACCGTTCTTCTTCTTTACCACTACTGTGTTGGATAGCCATGTCGGGTAATGAACTTCTCGGATGGCCCTGGCCTTCAAAAGTCTGTCCACTTCTTCTTCTACTGCTTTGACGTGCATCAACGTCGGTCTTCTGGCTCGTTGAATCACAGGTTTTGCCGACCTATCGACATTCAGTCTGTGGCAAGTGACCTCGGGGTCGATGCCAGGCATTTCGTAAGGTGTCCAGGCAAACACCTCAATGTTGGCTCTTAAAAAAGTCTCCAACTCTTTTTCCTCTTCTTCGGCTAAGCTCGAGCCGAGAAGAAAGAAGCGTTCTTCGTCTCCATCCTGGACGAGGATTTTCTTTAGCGCCTCTTCGCTCTTCTCGGCTGGTTCTTTGCTGACGTCTTCTAGTACTTCCACGTCCTCATTTTCAATTTCTGTCTCTTTTGGCTCTCGAACGCTGCAAGTAGCCTTCATTGCTGCCATGGAACAACTTTTTGCCTGCAGTTAATCTCCTCTGACTTCTTCAATCCCATGCTCTGTTGGGAACCGCAGTAGTTGATGCAATGTTGAGGGAACTGCCCCCATTGCATGCAACCATGGTCTTCCCAAGATGATGTTATATGGTGAAGGTGTGTCAATCACCATGAATTCTGTCCTGATCTTCTTAGTGCCAGCTTGTACTTCCAAGCTTGTTGCGCCCAGTGGCCACGTCGGCGTTCCATTGAAGCCTACCATCGGGCCATTCGATTGCTCCGTGTCGTCTGGGTGAAGGCCTAGCTCCTTGTAACATCTAACGTACATGATGTCACAAGAGCTTCCTTGATCTATTAGGATGTGTTTCACTTGGCAC